CCCCCCTGCCCGATCCAGGACTCCGCTGACACTCGAGTGCCACTTTTTAGGCTAAACCTTCCTTTTGACAAACAAATCCTTCCCCCTCCAGCAACCCCTTCACAGAAACCTCTGGCTCCAGCCCACCAAAAGGTGGCTCAAGCAGAGCACGGGCTGCTCAGGCCAGCTGTGATAGCCCAGACACCCCTCACAGATGTCACGACACCCCTCACAGATGTCACGACACCCCTCACAGATGTCACGACATGCCCTCTGCTCTCGGCTGGGCTCTCAGCTCTGCTGCCTGCCCTCTCCCAACCCTCCCTGGCCCAAGGCAGAGCTCAGGGTCTCCTGAGCACATTTTTTGTGCCTCTCCAGCCCAGGAGGCAGCGTCTCTGAAGGCAGCCCCTGGTTTATAACACAGCCCTTGTCCTTGTCCCCGGGTGAGTCTCACCTTTGGCTTGTATAAAAACTCTTTCCTTGAGGCTGCTGAATGGGCTGTGCCAGGAGAAGGGTCCCCAGGGCATGGAACAAGCCTGGGTTTTTTTTTTGTTTGCTCAGCTGAAATCAACCTGGGGTTGTACCCTGGGGAGACTGACTGCAGCTGATTCTTTTCGTGTGATTTCAGATGAGATTTGAAAGCTCTGGAAGGTCGTGGGCTGGGGGGGAGCGTGCACACAACACAGCTGGAGCCGAGAACACCTCCGCTCCTCCGGGAACGTGCTGGGAGCCTCGTCTCTCTCTTTCTCTCCTCCTCTGGGGAGCAGAGACGCCCTCGCCCTCTCCTCGGGGGCTGGTGAGGAAGAGGAGAGAGGGCACAGCCCCCCCAGCACCCGTGCTGCAGAGATCCTACCTTGTAGACGTTGATGGGCAGAGCGATGAGGATGTAGAGGAGGTCCCCGAGCGCCAGGCTGGCGATGAGGACGTTGGGCCCGTTCCTCATGCACTTGTTCTTGTAAATGATCCTCAGCAGGGTGGAGTTCCCAATGATCCCCACGATGAATATGGTGCAGGAGACGATGGTGTTGATGTACTTGAAGATGTGTCTGATGTCCGCAGGCTTGACGCAGAGGGGCAGCAGGGGAGGCTCCGAGCTGGAGCTCCCGGGGAGGGTCTCGGAGTGGTTGGAGAGCTGGGTGTCCTGGAGCAGGCTGGGCTGCAGCAGGCTGTGAGGTTGCCCCTGCCCCAGCACCTCCAAGGGGACTGTGCTCTCCTGGAGAGCCCCGGGGGTCTGGCTCTGCCCCCCGGGGAAGAGGCAGGTCAGGAGGATGGCGAGAGTGGTGGGCGCTGGGCTTCTCACCACCCAGGACCACAGGGGGGCTGCAGGAGAACTCGTGGTGCCCATGGGATGTCCTTGCTTGGGCCTCGGCTGGATCTGCAGGTGGAGAAAGGGACAAGGCAGCACTTGGGTAGCAGAGGAAGGAGGAACGAGGTGAGGCTGAGTGAAGGGAGGTGCTGGAGGAAAGTCATCGTGGCAAGGAGCAGCAGTTGTGCCCGACTGGATCCCATCTGGTTGAGGCAGCTGATCCCTGAGGGTGCCTTCACTGCTGGAGTGCAACGTGCCACTTGAACGAGCCACAAGCAAGCCCAAGAGTCCCTCATGCCCCAGCCACTGAGGTCACCAGGGCTGGAGCCATACCCCTAAACATCAGCAGAGTGAGTTCTGCCTTGCAGCTCTCAGGCGGTGCCTTGGCAGGACCAGCAAAGCTGCTGCCCCACAACCAAGTGCTGGAGCACTGGCCTGGTGTGATCCTGCCCTGTCTGGGTCTTTCTCAGCCTGGAGAAGACTCTGGGGAGACCTTGTTGCAGATTTCTTGTATCTGAAAGGGACCTAGAAGAAAATTTGGCTTCAAGGAACTTTCTTCAAGGGTTTGTCGTGGTGGGGTGGGTGGTAATCGGTTCAAACTGGAAGAGGGGAGGTTTAGATCAGAAATTAGGAAGAAGTTCTTCTCTCTGAGGGTGGTGAGACCCTGGTGTGGGTTGCCCAGGGAGGCTGGAGTTGCCCCAACACTGGATATGTCCAAGGCCAGGCTGGAGGAGGCTCTGGGCAGCCTGGTCCAGTGGGAGGTGTCCTTGCCCATGGCAGGGGGTTGGAACTGGATGATCTTTAAGGTCCCTTCCAACCCAAACCCTTCCATGATGGGAATTTGTGGCACAGGAATCTGTGACACAGGCAGGGACAGATCTTGGGTCTCCTGCTGAGAATGGGTGCAGAACACATTCCTCAGACTATGAAACTTCCCATCTTTGAAGGGAGGGAAAATCCCTGTGCCTAGACAAGGAGCAGGAGTCAGCTGGGGCTCCAGAGGAGCCGACTGGGCAGGGATCAGGCTGCCTGCCTGGGACTGGAGACAGGACTTCAGTCTCCACTCTGACTCCACCAGCATCTGAGCCCACCCCAGCTGTACCCCAGGGATCTGCTCCCAGGGACCATCCAGCCAACGTCCTCCTGGGTTGTAGCGTGGTTCCCCCTGCCCAGCACCAGCTATGGTGGTCCAGAACATGCTGATCCTCTTGGAAGGCATGGCCAAGCCAACCACGAGTCCTACCAGGTTCCACCATCATCTCTAGGTAGAGCTGCACATTCCTCATCTGCCACAGGCCCAGGCCAGGCTCTGCAGAGGTGTTTGAGTCCTTCTGAATGTTTGGGAGACTCCAAGGAGGATCAGCATGAAGTTGGACTCTTGCCCAACACCCCAGCCCAGCCAGACCCACCCTTTTCTCCCTTTCACCCCACTGCTCTTGCCAGAAAATCTGAAGCAGGGTTAGTCCTTCCTGACCCTCCTGAGCCCTTCGCCCAGGTCCTTCGTCCCTTTAAGCTGTAAACAAGCAGTGACAGGAGGAAGTCCAAGATTTATTCCCAGTTACATGACAAATATAGGCAATAAAACAACCACCCCCCTTCGATCTGGGCTGAGACCCCACGAGGTGGAGAGGGAAGTTTTCAGTCCTGTGAAACCCACCCCATTTTACAGCTGTTGGACTCGGGTGACCTTGAAGGTCTCTTCCACCCAGAACGATTCCGTGTTTCTTCTCGAGTTTGAATCCTTGCAAAGGTGCTTTGGAGATGGTTTCACCACAGGAAAGTTAAAGATCCCACCAACTCTCAGCTTGCTGTGAGCTTCTCTCTGCTAAAATATTGATGCCCAGTGCTTAGCGAGCTGGTCTGGTCTCTCTGCCTTTCATCTGCCTGGACTCAGGCAGCTCTGCAAACTCCATCTTGCAGATAAACCCCGTTCTGTGAGCCAGAGCAGGCTCTGTGAAGTTCCCTGCCTGCCTCTGCCTGAAAGAAAGGAGCAGTTTGAACGAGCTTTCAGAGAAGAGTCTCCACTTGGTGGCAGGGAAACGACCCATGGGGGTCTGTCCTCAGCCCGTGCTCGAAGGCAGCAGG